TTATTTGTTAATTATTAGGTTTAAGTTAAATAAGAGTTATTATCATTCTGTTTTTTTTTATCTAACAATAAGCCATTAGCTGTGAGGGGCCGGATTGGAGACCCCTGCCTCAGACGATACTAAACAGTTTGTTGTAGGATTGAAAATTATCCAAGAAGCGACGTTGGATTCGAAATCTTATAATCATCTTGCCAATTCGGACATCTCTGACTTGTCAGCGGTAACCTAATTGGAAGGACGGCCTGTGCGTAGCACAGGATTAGGTGGGTTCGAGTCCCCAGCTGACCGATTTGTTTCAATTTTTCATTAATAAATTTCTTTTCTCCTTGGGGATTCAAAAAATAATTTTCATTATTTCCTAATATTGGGATTTGTTTGGGAATGTCCTGGCAATTTAATTTAATTAGCAATTGTTTTCATATAGCGGCCATCTTGGATTTTATAGAAATCTAAGGAAAAATGGGCTAGAGCTGGGGAAATTGAAATTTTTCCATACGCTTAGTTAATCGCATTACTGTGTTGCCGGTTTAATTTCTTCTAGGGAAAAGTGCTGCTATTTCTATCTAAAATTCGTGGTCCCGTTAAGGTGTACTCGACAGTCACGAATATTCTTCGTGAAAAACTCATCACACAAACTATGGACAAAGAGCTTTCATGAATAGACTTTTGTGTAACTATAACACATCGTATTATTACCGTAATATTTTTAATTGTACCTTATTATCGAATTTTAAAATTTTAGATAGTTTTTTCTAATTGGCTTGTATGCGTTAGACTTAGACTTTTTTTCAGTTGTTCTGTTTGTACTTTAATTGTTGTTTTAGTTTTAAGACAGTGTCATTTGGAATTTCTAATTCTGTAGTGTACTTAAAATAATGAATAAAAAAAAATTATTCTATTCATACCTATTCAATAATAATTCACAATGACTAGAATGATGTGTACTCAAATATTTATGACCGTTGCAAATATCCAGTTACTATATCAATATTTAAATAAAATCATAAGAAGTAATAGCATTACAGAAGTGAAGAAGGTAATTAGCTTTATAATAAGCCTTACAATTTCTACTCTTTATTTGTATAATAATTGCACAATTTCATGGTGGTTATTACAAAACTATCATTAAATTTTGTGAAAATATTCCAGTATTTACAAAATATTACCCAACAAATTTTCTATCGTATTATTACCAATAATAGTCTAAGTAACAGTAGATATGTTAATAGGTTAAAAGGCCTAACCATTTAAATGCCGATATTAGAGTATTGTTTAATGGGCACTAACCATGCACTAACAATTAAACTTTCAAACATATTTACGATGTCTTTTTATTGTGTACGATACGAGGATGATTTCGAACAGCAGTTACAATGAAATTTCGTTACAGCTACAACTAGAGTTACTATATTCAAAAATAAAATTTTATGACGTACACTAATGAAAATTCCGGACAAAATAATAAAACTCTAAATTACTAAACGTTTTATTAAAAAAAGTAGGTACTGTAACATATTCATGTACTACTAAATGATATCACTTAAGAACGCCACATCATCGGTCTTTAGTTTGTTGTTAGCAGTGTTGTCAACCGGAGTGAAATTTCCAGTTTTGCGGGAATTTTTAACACAAAAGGGAAAAAGGGAATAAGTTAAGAGCGATATCCATGTGACATCTAACAGCAAATTCAGGTTGAGAACATACTGACAACTTTCAGTGCTTCTGAACACACTCTGGCAACGTTGCTCTATTCCCAGACTTACGCTCCCTTCAATTTATTACTTATAAACTATAGATGATTTAAAATATAAAAAGACCAATAAATCGCAGGTCCGGTCTAACAAAGAGTATTTTTGTTTTGTTTTCTCGTTTAAAATATTTTTTAAAGGTATAGCCTGGTGTAACATTTTCGAAACTCTTGTTTCTTTCTAAATAATTTATTTACGAAATATATTTTTAAATATGCATTTCCTATGATTATTTCGGAAACATCTAAAAATTACGTATATCTACATTTTCTGATATACAGGGTGTTTGTTGGTAAGTGTAAATGATTTTAGGGAATGTTTGCCGAAGTTATTTTATATAAAAAAAAAACAGATCAGTGGCGCAGTATTTTTTTTTTTTTTATTAAAAAAGTGGCATTCTCGCACAAACGCCACTGGTGCAAGTAGAAATATTTGGAACACCCCAAAAAATACACATTTGTCCCTTTAAAGTTTTTTTGCAAATTTAGAGTAAATATCTTTAAAACTATTTAAAATAATTATTAAAATTTAAACATTCTGTATCCCGGAAACGAAGCATTTTTATAGGAACTTTTTTTGACAATAACTTTAATAACAATTTGCAAAAATCTTTCGTACTTATTTACAAATACCCTGTATAAAAATACGTTTTTTAAATATTAATCCATTTATTACTAGTTTATGCAACAACAGTGGACAATCCACTGGAATTGTACAGTATAGTTTTTTCTACGATCCACTAACAAAAATCTACACATTTAAAGTATTATTTTTAGGAAAAGACAAAATAACTAATTTTAAAATAATTTATGACTTTACTAATTTGTGAAATAAAATAAACATGAAAAAATATTTCATTTAATTAGTCCCCAGCCCAGATTTGAACTCAAGCCTCTCGCATGAAAGACAGATGCCGTATCCTCATTTTCACCTCCATATTTAGAATTTTAGTTCTAATAGTAGTAATTGGGGGGGTGGGTGGGTGGCTCAGTGGTTAGAGCCTCTGCCTGTGGATCCAAGGGTCCCAGGTTCGAATCCCACCGTTGGCCGGAATTTTTTCATTTAATTTAATTATTTAAAATTAATTCTGATGCCTTGGTAGGATTCCCCACTCGACCATTCACTGTTGGGTTCTAATTAACAGTGCTGTTCCTAAAGTGACGCTGGGAAACAGTAACAAAGCCTACACAGAACACGAGGCGAAATAACCTTAGCAGTTGAAGCCGATGACATAAAAAAAGTCCCCAGCCCTGATTTGAACTCGGGCTTCTCGATGAAGACAAACTCCGTGTCCTCACGCCATCGCCACATTTGCCATTTTAGTTCTAATGTAATTAAATTAGTTTCATATGGTTTGATTAAAATTTAAGATTTGTTTGTTAATTTGGACGAAATACAAATAGAAATGCTATTATTTATCGATTATACAAAGGAAAGAAATATTCATTTTTACGTATATTTAATCTCAATAAGTCAAAAATATACTAGCAGTTAGTTTGACAAAATTGTTACTTGCATAATCGGGTCGGTAGTGTAGCGGTCTAACGCGCTTATATTCATTTATAAGGAAGTTTATGTGTCAGAGACTGCTGGGCTTCGAATCCCAGACCAGACCATGTGGATTTTTAATTAAATTGCATGGTTCGGTATAGGATTTGATGTGTGCCGTATTTATAGAAATTCAATTTTCTGTTGATATGACATGCAGATTATAAAAAATCGCCATACATTACCGTCTCGATGATGGTGGGTGAGGTTTTCCGGGTTTTCCTCACCTGTAAGTCAAATGGCACCATCAATCATCTTTAAGTCGCCCCGGAGCGTCACGGCACAAGCTCAGCTTTGGGTTAAAATGCATTCGTAAGGGGGTGAATTAGGAAGAGTATTATTATTATTATTATTATTATTATTATTATTATTATTATAAAATTTAAAAAATAATAGTAGCCGGGTAACCAAAATATAAATTGATTGGTGGATTTAACTGTTTTGCAGTGTTCTTACTAGGTAGAATGGATATGAAATATATTCGTTCAGTTGAACGCAATGGAATACATTTTTGTTTTGTAGTATGTGCGTAAATTAGCTAATATCCATGTGGGTATAGAAAAAATCATATCCATGTGGGTGTAGAAAATAGTAGTTTCTCTAACAAGAGTGAATATAAATTAAATTGATTTCATATAGTTTTATTAAAATTTATAATTATTTAATTCTAAACTTAGATCAAATAAAAATAGAAATGCTATTATTTATCGATTCTACACAAGTATAACTCATTTTACGCAATAGCATATTTTTTTCGTTTTGTAGTCTGTACGTAAATAAGCTAATATCCATTTGGGTGTAGAAAAAATTGTTTTCTAGTACTAAAAATATATAAAAATAACATTGAGTATCTGTAACGTGTGGAGGGTAGGTTACCCCAACGGCACGTAGGCCTCATTAGGCCCATTGTGCATCCTCCTAAGATGATAGGCACCTCCTAGCTCGTAAGCCAGCCTACAGATTTAATGTAGTTGACAACGTCGCCAAGAGGTGCTTCGCTTATATCGGTCGGTGTTAGCCGATACTCGCCGAACACAAATATTCTAATAAATGAGAGCGTCGAGCAATCGTAAAGGATATGCTCGATGGTCTCATCTTCTTATTCGCACCCTCTGCAGAGTGGCCTTGTAACCATGGATATCGCTCTTAATTACTCCAGTTTAAATAGTGAAAAATGTATGTTTATAAAAACAAATAAAATTAAATTTGTTAATTCTATGACGTATTTTTAAAGTATTGTTAGAAGATTTAGTTATTCTGTTTATGACTTTTTTTTATTTAGGCTGAGGACCTTTTTTAGAACATAGGTCTGGGTTTTGAGTAATGTAAAGGTGGCAACCCTAAACAGAAGGGATTTTTTCATAAAAGTGTACAATAAATAATATAGTCGACTATTACCATTTAAAACTTTTATTACCGATTTAAATGATGTTTTTAATTTAGTCTTTACTTTTAGGTAGGCATATTTAATTTATAGTTATTAATTACTAATTATTATTATCATCCATAATTATCCCATATTCAATATTTTTAATATCCAATTAAAAAAAAAACCGGTATATTTCTCTATACTTAGTTGTTTTGCAAATACAAAACATTTTATTGGCAATTAGAAATAATAAAATAGTTATTTTAATCTGCATATTATTATGAATCTGAATAAATAAACTATTGGATAAAACTCGTTTTTTTTATTTTTTTCAGATCCAAGAACGAAGGATTGGTTCCTATCAGGACAACCAGGCCGTCTTATCTTAATTCTAGTCACTTATTTCTATTTTTGCACCAAAGTTGGACCTAGGTATATGAAAGGTAGAAAACCATATGAGCTGAAGAAAACTATACAATTTTATAATTTTCTGCAAGTTGTGGGTAGTGCCTACCTCTTTTATGAAGTAAGTAATATTTAAGTAAGAAAATTGTGTTCTTGTGGTCTTGCCTAAAATAAAATGTATAAATCCCGGGTCGAAGAACCAAAAATAATAGTGATGTCAAATCTGAATTTTTTTATTTATGACACTGACCTTCATATATTTTTTTTTTACAATCCAGTCAACCAAAAACAACATACAGAGTATTCAAATTAAATATAGAAAAAATAAAATAAATCTGTAACAAATCTCCCACCTAGTAATTGATTCTGCGAACAATTACTACTTCAAAAAGGTAAATCAAACGAGGGTGGTCCTTAGGATCTCACAAGAGTATTTTATTACGACCGGTTTCGAGGATCAGATCCTCATCATCAGGTAAGGTCTAAAAATAGAGATGAAAAACGAATGAGCTCATAACTAATAAACTGGGTTTAAACATTTTAATATGAAAGTTGTCAAATATCAAGAACTCACCCGTAATTACTCATCTATTTAAGACTAAGCTAAGAGAATTATCCCAGGGTCGGTGTAAAAACAAGTATGCGAGTATTTTTTAAAATACATAAAAAAATATAAAAAACAATAGTTGCAACAAAAAGTTGATGTCAAAACACATAAACAAAAGTAGGTCTAAAACTATTAATTAAAATTATTAAAATATTTCACGAACGGACGAACAATTAAGACAAACAAATTTAAAAACTTTTTAAACCCTACAAGCACTAAAATGGGTTCTTGGACAAGTGTTTATAATTCTACAGGAATTAAATTTTATTTAGATTAAATATACTGATTAACGCCCTCAAGATATAAATAGACGAATTAACCATTCTAATATTTAAGATAACAGTTTAGAGGTTGTCAAATTTAAATATTTTGACCATCGGCTAATAGATGGCGTTGGCGAAAAAAATAAATGTTTCTTAATAATAATATAGGTTAGATAGCTTAGATAACAATAATTTTTGCCAATCAATCAAATTTTACTATAGATTTGTGGAATACTATGGACTGGTAGCAAAGACTCATTGAATGATTTCTTGTCTCATGTTAACTCTCTACATACCAACATTAAGTTTACTTTAGAAACCGAAGTAGATAAATCTATAAACTTTTTAGATTTAAAAATATCCCATAACAATGACTCTAAATTAAGTTTTGATATCTATAAAAAACCCACTCATACAGAAGTAGTAATAGATAATTTGTCTAATCACCCCATCTCGCATAAATTAGCTTCCTTTAATTGTTATTTAGAACGTCTAATACGAATACCTTTATCCATTGAAAACTACAATAGAGAACTTAACACAAAAAAAAAACATAGCTCATCTACACAATTATGATCACAGTTTAATCGATAAAATGTTGAGTAAAAAACAAAATAGAATTATTCAAAATACAACATTTATAACTAACCCTATACCTGTAGAGGCTAGCATTAGTAAGTATATGGCACTTACCTATATTGGAAATATTTCTTATAAAGTCTCCAATATCCTCAAAAATCACTTCAAAATTTCTTTTAAATCCTCCAACTCAATTAGTAACTTTTTCATCAAGAATAAAGATAAAGTGGACATCATGGATCAACCAGGCATATATGAACTCAGTTGTAAGTCTTGCCCAGCCAAATATGTAGGTAGAACCTTTCGTAATTTTAGGACTAGACTTAAAGAACATTTAAGATGTTTGAATACTGCCACAACCGGCTTCTCACATTTTGCCACCCATCTAGTAGAGTCCAATCACGATTTTGACTCAGGGGATGGCTTTAGGGTACTCCACATTTGCCACAACAAGTTGATATTGAATAATTTGGAGAACCTAGAAATATTTAGATTAAGAAAAAGTAACAATGCATTATCACTAAACTCACAAGTTTTTTCCGAATCCACACCCACGTTCTCAGTTCTTTTTTAAAAATCTACGTCTCCCTTAAATTACCCCCCCCCCCTTTTACTTTAAAATTTCCCTATGAAATTCTATTAGTTATACTTATCTTATTCCTTATTTTTATTCTGTCTCCTTTTCCATTTTCATTTTTCAGCACATTACTTCAAAAAATAATTAACCAAATCAATAGTTTTTTCTCTCTTTTCATTTTAACACCATTTCCTTTTCCGTTGATTGTTACCAACTTCTTAATTTGAATATTAGTACATCTAAAATTATTTTCCAACGCTAATGCTAGACTCTACTTTTAACAATAATAATTTATTTATTTCATTTTGTTTATTACGTACAAATTCAAACAATTCATTTTATAAACCTATATTATTATTAAGAAACATTTATTTTTTTCGCCAACGCCATCTATTAGCCGATGGTCAAAATATTTAAATTTGACAACCTCTAAACTGTTATCTTAAATATTAGAATGGTTAATTCGTCTATTTATATCTTGAGGGCGTTAATCAGTATATTTAATCTAAATAAAATTTAATTCCTGTAGAATTATAAACACTTGTCCAAGAACCCATTTTAGTGCTTGTAGGGTTTAAAAAGTTTTTAAATTTGTTTGTCTTAATTGTTCGTCCGTTCGTGAAATATTTTAATAATTTTAATTAATAGTTTTAGACCTACTTTTGTTTATGTGTTTTGACATCAACTTTTTGTTGCAACTATTGTTTTTTATATTTTTTTATGTATTTTAAAAAATACTCGCATACTTGTTTTTACACCGACCCTGGGATAATTCTCTTAGCTTAGTCTTAAATAGATGAGTAATTACGGGTGAGTTCTTGATATTTGACAACTTTCATATTAAAATGTTTAAACCCACTTTATTAGTTATGAGCTCATTCGTTTTTCCCATCTATTTTTAGACCTTACCTGATGATGAGGATCTGATCCTCGAAACCGGTCGTAATAAAATACTCTTGTGAGATCCTAAGGACCACCCTCGTTTGATTTACCTTTTTGAACTTATAACTCACACATGGCTACCACCTTCAACTTTAATTCAACTTTAATTACTACTTCATTTGTCTCTGTCTAATACCTTCTGGCCTTCTGCCTGGTCGTTTTTCTCTTCTTTTCTTCTCAAATCCAGAATGCATAATTTGTTCACGGGACGTCGTAATTGGTTCCCATTACCAGTAAGAACATCGACTACTCTTACTTTTCCATCCTTGGCTGGATAAAGTTTCACAACTTACCCTTTGGGCCAAAGGTTCCTAGGATTGTTGGAATCTACAATTAGGACTATATCTCCCAGTTCATTTTCTTGACGCTCTGAATAACTCTCTCCCATGCTCCTCCCATGTTTGGGGCATTTGCTGGGTTCCAAATAAATTTAATTCCTTTGATGCAACAAAACTTACTGATCTCGGATTGATTCAGTTTTGCTACATTTTCCGATAGCTCTCGTTCTGCACCCTTAAAATTTGAACCATTGTCGCTGAACACTGTTTCAGGAAATCCGCGTCTTGTTCCAAATTGTCGGAATACATGCATGAATCCATCAGTACTAAATCATGAGCAATTTCTAAGTGAATCGCTCGAGTTACCATGCAGGTGAAGATAACTCCATAACGTTTTTCTCTGCTCCTTTTAACTACAACTTCTAATCTACTCCAGTATTTATATAGGGTCGAATTGTTGGTTCAAGACGACAAGGTGGCAACTGTCCCATTAAAGGTGGCTTAGGTAAAGCTGTTCTGTTCTTACATTTCTGACATTTGGCCCAACAGCTTCTGACTGCTTGTCTCATTTGAAGAATCCAAATGATGAGAACAAACGACTGCTTCGGCTACTACCATAGAAGACATTGAATTAAATCTAAAGATCTACTTTGAATTAGAAGATGCAGATGGGATTTACCATGTGAATTCGGGGAGGACTATCAATCTAAACATGAAATCAGTGGCAACAATTTCCAAATTGAAGTTGCAGCAATAAATGCCTTTGCTCAGATTATATTAAATAACTCACTTAGATATGATAGTATTTATTATGACAGACAGTCGCAGGCAACTCTTAAAACACTGAAAAGGGTATTTGACTGCCAATAGTCTTTCTAGGTTCTGGCAGAACACAATAAGGTCCCTCTTGAATAGAGATGTTGGGAGGCATGAAACAAGAAACAAGTACTCCTAGCCAGAAAGGTAACTAAAAAAAATCTGACTGGACCAGAATTCACATGTGGTATTGCAAATCATCATGTAAAAGAGATACTAATGAGACAGGAAAATAGAGAATACCATAAGCTTAGATTGGAACTTTCTGGACTCAACTAGTTTAGAATATTCATAGAGCAGACAAAATCAAATGCTAAACCTTATCAGAAACGAACTTAAGACCATAATAGAATTCTTTACGGGACCCTGCGGTTTTAGAATACACCTAAATCTCTTAGGGATATCTAACGAATCTCTATGTAGATGAGGACGAAACTCCTATTGACAAATGGGTACGGGAATGGCACGTCGAGTTACTCAAAGTAATCTGGCTAGTAAAGTTCTTGGAACTGGTTGACTGCCCTTTGAAATTTATTTTTGATAAAAAAAGGTACCTACATCATTTTAGCTTATTCATAATGATGTAAATTTGAGTTTATTCCTTACAAGTTTTTCTTTATCCAATATGTTTATGATCCAGTGATCATGCAGTATTAAACATTGGCTTGATTTTTTTAGGGACTTGCAGCTGGATGGACTGAATACAGTTTTACCTGTCAACCAGTGGTGCCTGGAGAAAAAGGACAGAGGGTAAGACATTTTTTTTTATTTTACAAAACCAAATAAAGGCTAAGACAATGGCGAAATCCTCAGACAGATATTTTGGTAATGCTTTATAGTCTATTTTTATGTATGAGAGAGTAATAAAACAGAATTTCTAATGCAAAACTTAGTACGGTCATTTTAAATATTTTTACAGATTAATCTAAATATTTCCTAAAATTGTAATAAATGTACCTGAGCTATTACAAGTTTTGGGTCTTTTATTGGTCCTTTATAAACATAAGCTGTACAGAATAATAGAAAAAGGTTTGGACAGGCCAAAAGCCCTGTGTATTAAAGATTACATAGCCGTATCTTAAGATTATTTTCAATAAGTACCTACTTGCCAATTTTGTTTTATTTTAATTCCAAGAATTTCTTACAGTAATCGAATTATGAGTAGATAAATACCTTCCCAACAAATTTCACCGAAAATGCGATTATAGGTTTTCCATTTAGTAAGGAGGTCCAAGTTGTGTATTCTTGACAGTTTACTAAATGTCGTTTAGTTGCAACTTGCAAGGTGCAGTGTCAATTCTAGTGTGATCATGGAAAATTTGGAAGGGCCGCGTAAACGACAAAAAATCGGTCCTTTAACAGTTAATGAAAAAACATTAATATTTAATTGTTTTAAATCATTTACAGACAAACATTTATGTAAAAGTGTTGATGACACAGTGGAATTAGTTAGTAGTACGCTTGGTGTTGGGAAATCTACGATTTACAGAGTTGTTAAAGAAGAGAAATGTGGCGAGTTTTAAACAGCACGTAAAGCTCCAGGAAAACCAAAATTTCAATTAGAAAATCTTTTGAAAGAAAGACTTCGAAAGAAAGTGCATGCGTTCTTCTTTAGAAGAGAATTTCCGACAGTAGACAAAGTTCTTGTCACGGTTCGAGATGATAAGGATTACCCTGAAATGAGTCGAAGCACACTATGGAAACTTTTAAAAGAAATAGGTTTTCTATGGAAAAAGCATTCCAGAAAGTCTATTTTAATAGAAAGAAGCGATATTGTAGTATGGAGAAGAAATTACCTAAGGACTATAAAAGAAATGAGAAACCAAAGAAGAAATATATTTTATTTAGATGAAACATGGATCAACGAGGGACATAAACCAAATAAATTTTGGCAAGATGAAACTGTTACAAGTCGAAGACAGGCTTTTTAAATAATTTATCTACTGGTTTAAATCCACCATCAGGAAAGGAGCGCAGACTAATAATAGTACACATCGGTAGTTCAAACAGTTTTGTTAAAGGTGGTTTATTGACTTTTGAATCTACTCGTACCGGTGACTACCATGAGGACATAAATGCTGATGTCTTTAAAGAGTGGTTCGAACAAATTATAGATCTTCCTCAGAACTGTATAATAGTAATGGATAATGCAAGTTATCACTCGAGACTTATAGAAAAAATGCCCACAACCAAGTGGTTAAAAAAAGATTTACAGAATTGGCTAAATTCAAAGAATATTAAGTTCCATCCCGGTTCTGTGAGAAAAGAACTGTATCATTTGTGTTCCCTTCATAAAGAGAAATTTAAAAAATATGAAATTGATACAATTGCAAAAAATCGTGGGATGACGGTGGTTAGATCACCACCATATTATTGCGAAGTAAACCCGATTGAACTGATATGGGCACAGATAAAGGGAGAAGTTTCAAGAAAAAATAATTCTTTTAAAATGAGTGATGTTAAACAGTTGTTTTTGGAGGCTGTAAATAATGTGAAGCCTGAAAACTGGGAAAAGGCAGTAAATCATACGATTAAAGAAGAAGAGAAAATGTGGAAGTTGGACAATATTACTGATGAAATGATCGAGCCACTCATTGTAAGTAGTTTTTATATTAAAATTATTATTTATGAACGTAACGTTGTTTAAAAGTCAAAGTTTAAACCCTTATACCTACATAACCCGTTTAACACAATGTTCTTAACATACCTTGTGGAAAAATAAAACATTTTAGAAAAAATTGCACTTTTTTACCTTCAGATGTTTAGAAGTTATAAGCACGTTAATTAGGTGAAAAAGTGTATACTCGAGGAATAACTTCAAAAAATATTTTAACTGTCTACTAAAAGAAGTGATACGCCTATGGATTACGAACGCTTTATTATTGTAATACTCTCTCATACATAAAAATAAGACTATAAAAATTGACGCGAATGTATATACGAGGTTATGAATTTCGCGATTTACCGCTAAAACTAAAAACTGATTAACTATTCTATGGAATATTTCATGATATAACGAATTTCGGAAAAAATGTTAGTTGCAAGGTCCTATGTTTTGACCCTCGATATATTTTTGCAATTTTTTGTTAGGATCTTTGTGATCCTTTCCAGAAGCCAGGATTGCAGTATCAGTTCAAGAATTGGAATATCTTTGATATACAGCAAGTAGAGTACTAAACCTAGTTTACTACTTTAAGGAACTCCTGCCTTGATTTATCATTGGTCAAAATAGACTTCTTCCTGTTTTCAATAGTTCTGATTAATGCCGTTTATATTTCAGGCCTTTATGCCATACTTTATCGAAAGCCTTAGCCATATCCAAAAAGACGGTGAGCAAACTTTTTTTTATATGGACTTTTCGATGATATCTGTGATTTTGTGAGCTTGGTGGAACCCAAACTTTTGGAAAGGGTGGTTCAACGACTGTATCTTCTTATTCTAGTTCCATCTAGTATTGATGACCTTCTCCATAAATATTCCGCAAATCTATTTGCTTTCTATCTGCTTCAATTTGAACTTAAATTTTTGTTCTTGATTTTTTATTGGCCGATCTTCACGTTCATAGGAAAATTATTTTTTAATTTACGCCGCCTTCTAAAGTTTCTTAACTTTTGAAATGGGCATATTATATTTCCAAGCAAGATGCTAAATCTTTGGCATCTAAAACAATCTCATTAAAACCTTAATCTTAACAATATTATTTAATAAGGGAATTCAGTTTATCTAAAACAAAATTTTTCTTTATGGATTATGATTTCTTTATTCCTGTTGGGAGGGAATATAATAGTAAAATCACGATTTTTGGTGCGTTATTTTTCATATTTATGTACATTTGTTGTAAATTTACAAATAACGTTTTTAAATTTAAATTAGTAGGTGCCTGGCGCAGCCTTTATGTACTGGCGCCATCGTGCATCGCTCGTCCTTGCTTATATGTGTTAAGAACTTATAGCGCCACCTTGCGGCGAGAGGCAGAACTGCAAGAGGTGCCATCTTGTGACTGAAAACAGTGCGTTCCTTGCTTTGCAGGAGTGTAAACATTGGTGTTGAACCTCTCGTCCAAGGGGCGAATTGAGTTAATTATAACGACTTTTTTGAGCATTGATGATTGATCGATATTGATTTCTTGCCTGGTCTTATGTCCTGTATCCTGGTCTTTTATTGTAACGATTGTAACCATAATGATAATGAGTAACATTGATTGTAAAAGAACTTATTGTGTTTTCGTAATAAAGTTTGTTTTTGACCTGAGAACCTTTTTGTGAAAATTATTTGCAAGTTAACAATATGTACAGTTCGTCCCTGCCTATCTACGAGCTTAAACAAGGTGTTTTTAAAGGTTGAAAAATCCTGTTTTGGTCATATATCTTTAACCTTTATAATATTAAAACACTTTTTCTTATTTCAGATGGCTAGAGGTGTTTGGTTGTACTTCATATGCAAACTAATAGAACTACTAGATACAGTGTTCTTCGTTTTAAGGAAAAAATTCAACCAAGTGTCTTACCTACACTTATATCATCACACGCTGATGCCGGTTTGTGCCTGGATTGGTGTTACCTTTTTACCAGGTAAGATTTTAATTTGAGCAACAGAGTTTACCAATTTACCAAGATATTATCTTATTTATATGCTTTTTAATTTCATTGAAAGGCCATGCTGATTTTTTTTTAGATATCATAAATGCATACACAAATCTGAACTAGTCCTTATTTATAGACTACCGTTTATTTATTCACAAGATGTCCCAAAAAAGTAGACCAATCGGTTAAACATAGATTCCTTATGTTAGTGTAAGACCATCATGTACAATATTAATTTTAAAAATACTTTTTTCAATATTTTTTCGTCGTTTTATTAGGTAGATGGCTTAAAATTGGTACAACGGGTTTTTTGGGATGACAAATTACAATTTGAGTCTAAATATCACCTACCTCATAGAGGGCGCTAGTTTTATTATTACCTTTAATCCCCCTAACTTTTTTATGTCCGCCAATGGTTTCAAATGGATGGAGCTCCCCCACATTTCGCGCAAATTGTGAAGAATCATGTAAACGAAGTTTTACCGAACTGTTGGATTGGCAGCGGTCAGAATGTGCCTGTTTGGCCACCTCGATCTCCAGATTTAAATCCCCATGATTTTGCACTTTGTTTATATAGAAAATGAAGCACATTTAAAAGATATAATTTTGCAGAGTTCGGATCAATTCAGTTTGAAACCAAATGTTTTTCAAAACTTCAGAAGGCCACGCAAGTATGTTAATCTTGAGGGAAGACATTTTGAAAAAGGAAGAGAAAACAACGTAGAACATAAAAATGTCTTATACAAATAGATATTACGTAACCACCATTGGCGGGCATAAATTTAGGGGAGTTAAAGGCAATAAACCCCTTAAAACTAGCGCCTTCTATGAGGTAGGTGATATTTAGGCTCAAATTATAATAATTAATCGTCCCAAAAACAAACCGGTGTAAAAATTTTAAGCCATCTACTTAAAAAAACGACGAAAATGTAATGACGTATTTTTTTAAAATTAACTTTGTCACCCTGTATATTGAACATGATGGCCCCAATCGAAAAAAAAAATAATAATAGAGGTTTCTTACACCGACCTAAGGGATATATGGTTAACCGATTGGTCTACTTTTTGGGACACCCAGTATATTACTCTTTGATATTTGTCAAAATTCAAATTTTTTCATAGAATAACAAATGGTAATTATAAAAATATTTTCATTTGAATGTCAAAAACACCTCGTTGTTCAGACGGAAAATATAATCGAAAAGTTCAATATTTTTCTGACTCAAATCGCAAAAGGCAAGGTCGACAAAGTCAAGACGCTACGATTTTTAAATTTTTTTTTTCATATACTTTTTAAAAAAAAAATTTTATTGTAATATAGTCATTCATAATCCCCATGCATATCAAATTTGAATGCCAGCATTTTTAATTAAATAGGAAAAAAACCTAAAAATATGTTCTTTTCACATACTATTCTTGATTATTCCGGAATTAAGTCCAAAGATGCCAAATTTGCAGTAAGATTGAGAGGGTAGGTTACCCCCGACAGCACATAGGCCTCATTAGGCCTACTGTGCATCCTCCTAAATTAATAGGCCCTCTCTTAGCTCGTCTGCCAGCCTACAGAATTGATGTAATTGACAACGTTGCTTAGAGGTGAGCCTCTCTTATATTGGCCGATCTTAGCCAATACTCGCCGAATTCAAATCTCCTAATAGCTGAAAGCGCCGGGCAATCGTAGAGGATGTGCTCGGAGTCTCAGGCGTAGATTTTGTCTAGTTAAAGTCAAGTATTTGTTTGTTGCAGTGTTGTCACTGTAGAGGCGGATTTCTAAATAGACTATCTAGGCTATTGCCTACGGCCGCAAAATTATAGTAGGCGGAACATTTTCAAAGGCCGAAATTTTTACAAACATTTTTTTTTAACATTTTTGCAAAAATTTACTTCTTTTTGGAATCCAAGATTCTTTGGAAGAATCTGAACGATAAATTACACCAAGGAGTCTGTCGCCACTGGTGTGAACTTAGCAGACCAAACTTGACAGCCAAAGTGGCGAAGGTACCCGAATACACAGTGGCGTTGGTCTCAGCTTAAAAAAAAATATTAAATAAATATTGCGGTAATTATTAAATAAAAAGTATAAGCAAGAATATTTTAAACAAATATAAACTATAAAATAGATATTAAACCAGATATAAGAAAATTTGTTTTCAAGAGAAATGAAAAAATTAGTCTTTTTAAGATTTTGCTATATCGCGGTCAACAAACAATATAAAATAACTCCAAACCAAGACATACTATCAAGTTGATATTTTAACACGATTTAATCTATTCATAAGCCCCACTAACAAAGCTACTGTCAATGTATCGCAAACCGTCAAAGAGTGAAAAAACATTAAAAATGTAAAAAAAACCTTTCAAAATGTAACTTCTGTCAAGAAACTAGATACAATAACTCCATAACTGGACAAATGTTATCTCAAGCCGTCAAAAAGTAGGATACATTTTCTTAATGTTTCAGCAACGTCCCAAGATTGACGTCTCTGGGAAGTAATTTTCATGTCATGTTGAATCGCACGCCTAAGCTGTTTTTTAGCCACCACATTGGTTTAAAATATTTTTTAAACCATATTTAAAGTAACGTCATGAATTTATAGATTAATTGCTGCCATATGCCTCAAAAATTCTAGCTTTGGTTTAAAATATTTCGTACGTGACGTCATAGCTGCATCGCTAAAATTTAAACAGTTTAAAATAATCGAAAATATTTTAAACCAAACACTCGCTAAAAAATACCTCTAGTGTGACCATACTGATCTATATTTCGTTCCCGAAATATTCTCTTTTTTTATGTAAAGACTGGTTATTCATTTGTACTATTTTCGTTTATAAAAATATTAAACAAAAGAAAAGACGTATCAAATAAAAATAACAAAACTACAAGATTAGCCGCCAAACTCTTCTTATGCCAATTATTTCGAAAAAGTTTCCTACTCATCCTCTCTCTAATTCAACAAGCTGCGCCCTCTCGTCACTTTTTGAGACGAGACAAAACCTTGCATTTTCAAATAAGTGACACAACACCCCACGTCTTTTTATTTCTAACACTTTATTCAAGATTTTAAAATAATTTAAAATACAATCTGCTCTTCGGATATCAATAATATCCGTCCGATATTTTTCAATTAATATGTTTAAAATAATTATCAAATTAAAGCTGTGCTCCTCGGATTTCAACAATATCCGTCCAGCATTTTTCACTCTACTAAAAAATCACGAAATGTTTACCATCTGTCATCGCATGGTTAAAAAAGACAAGTTATCTAGTAAGTCTCAGGCAGTTAATATATCATTTAGGCAACAAAACCTAAAGGAAAAACCAAAAACAAAAGAATTACTTGCTAACACTGCCAATCCAGGACAGTACAACTTACTGATTTTTTCTGTGATTGTGGATCCTCAGATTCCTCATACCATTCACCAGACCACATTTATAAAAACTAACTCTTGCACGATGCTAACAATTAAACTATATTTAATATTTCAAAAGATTTCACTAAATTTGTGATAAGCAGACAAAAGTAAAAGCAATAAGTTCAGAGGTACTCTTCAGATATTTGGCTGACATATACTTAATTTCTTTAATCACAAAAACAAAAGCTTTAAATTAAAGTTCAGAGGTACTTCTCCTCAAATATTTAACTGACCTAAACTTAGCTTTTTTTTTCTCACAGAAGCAAAAGCTTTAAATGAAAGTTCAGAGGTACTCTTCAGATATTTAACTGACCTGTACTTGTTATTAAATAAAAACAGTATAAAAGTTCAGAGGTACTCCTCAGGGATTAATCTGACCTGAACTTGACTTTCTGGTGACATGAATGCAACGTTAAGTTCTAAGGTACTCCTCAGGGATTAACCTGATCTGTACTTAACTTTCCGTATAGTAGAATTAACAGTTAATCGTAATTTGGACAAATTTCGAACTTACTGAAGGAAACATTTTTTTTTTCCATCGAAGTTCTACTAAAATTCAAAATTAAACGACTGTAAATAAAGGCACTATCTGTTCAAAATAGCGGAGTAGACCACTGCTGAATTATCCACATCGTAAAAACAAATTTTGAAACCTATAGGAACCATTGCATTCAATTCTTAATGGCATTTTACTATTTTTACTTTCCTATCTGTATACAGATAATAATATAAAGAAAGTATAGGAATCATGATTTTCTTCGACCTCGAGTTTTCGACGGATTTTTACGTTTTGAGGTCCCCTGAATCCGTTTTGACTATTTTCGCGATGATGTCTGTGTGTGTGTGTGTCTGTGTGTGTGTGTGTGTGTGTGTGTGTGTGTGTGTGTGTGTGTGTGTGTGTGTCTGTGTGTGTGTGTGTGTGTGTCTGTATAACGCATAACTCATGAACCGATACACGGAAAAACACCAAATTTCAAACTTAAGCTTTGTTCCAGCGTCTAATGAGCTGATTAGATTTTGGGCAGAGTCGGAACATCTGGGGGGGTACTTTATGGGTGGTCATTTTTATATTTTATGGAATATATCTGTTATTTACGTTTGGGGAAGAAAATTCTTCAAATGAAAGTTACTTCTTATTTTATTATCTATAATTTTTGTTATATACAAAATTTTCCTAAAATGGTCCGTATTCGCGAAATTTGACAAAATGTAAAAAAATATTTTTTTTTATAAAAATTGTTCAAACAAAAGTTGTTTGTAATATAATTCTCTATAATTTTTATCCTATAGATAATTTCTCTAAAATGGACCGTATTCGAGATATTTGAGAAAATGTGTAAATTTCGAAATTTGAAGAAAACTCAAAAACGGATAAAGAAAAAAACATTAAATTTTAAACTTAAGTTTTATTTCGGCCTGACGTGCAATGATTAGATTTTGGACAAAGTCGGAACATCTGGGGGGGTACTTTATGGGAGGCCGTTTTTATATTTTATGGAATATATCTGTTATTTATGTTTGGAGAAAAAAATTGTTCAAATAAAAGTTACTTCTAATATTATTATCTATAATTT